TTCCACCATGGTTGCACTCCTTGAATTACTTACGACTTTAAACATCAACCCTTTCGCTGCGGAATGACGCTTTAACTAAAGACCGTCCTCTGTGTGCGAAACGATAGTTACTTAACCCAGATAACAATTTTTGCGCGCAAATTTTGCTTGTCTTAAGCCTATCACACAATGCGAGGCAACAGGCAACAGGAATAGGGAATAGAATTTTTGACGCGTTGGATTGGTTGAAGGAAAATTTCCGACGAATCCAACGCGTCAAAAATTCTATTCCCTGTTCCTGTTGCCTGTTGCCTGGCATTGTGTGATAGGCTTTACGCATGCAAATTTGTATGCGATTTGCCCGAGTTTTGTCCGTAAGATATGTTCAGTCTGTGCTTTTGCACGCAAGTGGCTAGCTCGTGTATCAACGTATAATTTTGCGCGCAAATATCTATCGACTCGCGTACAAAAATGGCTCAACAACGCAAGCAAAATTCCATCCAAGTGCGTCGTCGTAATGCCAGATGTTTCCGCGCAAAATGTTTTCTGGGAAGTCACTGAAACACAATCGGTTCTACTAAAAGTAAAACCGCGTGGATAATTACAATGCTCCATACAAGACATTTTATTTGCGAGTGTGATTTAATAAAAGATCGAAGAAATGAATCGCGAACTTGTCACTCTCCTGTTGCAAAATATATTTTCAGGAAACTTTAAAGAGTAAGTAGTGACAATACAGAGTAAATAAATGTAATACATTCTTAATTATCAGACGAATCACCAGTTTAACATTAATCGATAGTCAAATCTGTCAAAACAGATTTTGTAAAACGTCTTTAACTATAAATAATACTTTACGAGTAGAACGCCAGCGGAAATGTAACTGCTAACAGAATATACGATAGGAGATTGATTACAGAACCAAGAACACACACACATACACACACACAAATACACATGCGTTTTCCGCAGCTAAAGAGTTACGAAATTAAGATATCGTGATAAATAAATATGTACTGTTTGCTTCTCTGAGAAATGTGAAAGAAAGTCTTAGGATTCCTTCTATGGTTTTCAATTGATACTGTTGATACTTCCGGCCATCTTTACATAAGCCTCGCTTCTTTTCAGTAGATACATATCTCGGATTTATGTTGACAAAACGACGTTATTATTTTTTATGCGACGTAAAATTATGACATTAAAAATTGTGTTCATGTCGGAATGAGAAATAGAAGATTTTCATCGCTTATCCACGAATGTGTGTTACTCGGTGATGCACAAATTTGCGACTTAAGCAAATTTGTGTTGGGGTAGTACAATGCAATGGCAGTGAAGCGAAACGAGACGAATATTTCGTGCTTTACTTATGAAACTGGAAAATACTTTGATTTCGATCTGTACATAGAATATCTGTTAGCGTGTGTACATCGAAATTGTTTGGTGCGTAAATAGATTACAAAAACTTTGACAAAACCGTTTGATTAACATACACGTATATATAACTTTTTGTTATCGTATTTACATAGGTTTCACCGATATACATATAATGTTCCATCCAAGCAAATCGATCAGGAGAGAAGGAGTTAGGACAATATCGCGCAATCGCGTACAAGTATCGAACAATGCGGTAGTAACATATGCGAGATACATGAGCCAATGCAGATTCCGTCAAGAGGTAAAACGATATAGATTACAGAAATTAATAGGCACAGGTTCGTAACGTATAGAAAGTTTTCCATTTAATTTTCAACAAGCAGACGAGACTAATATAATTACAAAATACGAGTGCGAACAATAAAAGCGCAAGAAAGTACTGGATTAAAGTATAGTTTACACACGTGCAGCTTCTATTGGCCATCTAGTCAGACAAATCTGTCGAAGATAGATTTTGTTTTAATGCCCGCTATAAATTTTGTCGATACTCAGCAGAAATGTAACAGAATCTATTAGCAGAATTGATAGCAAACTCCGATAAAAATTTTCATCAGGGTCTGCTGATAAACTGCTAGCACAGTGCTAATATTTTATTTACCGAGTAGTTTTAAGTATCAGCATACACAATACTCACGTATTGTACCATCGAGAGCAAAGATACTGTCCTGTTCCGATGTAATAAGATTAAACTGTGCCGAGCTTCCTGTTCGATGATCGATTAACCGGTCAATTACCAAAAGAAATTCGGTAAAAGCGCAGTTTTACTTTCTGCACCTGAATCGAAACAGCATTTTGCTCGCCACTGTATTACTGCGCACAATTAAAGTTATCGGAATTATGTGGAATTCTTAATAATTTTACAATACGTTTTTAGTGTGATTTACATATTCGCATACAAATAAACGTACATACGTCCACGCATATACAAGATATAAATAGAATATTTTTCCAAAGTTTCGATTAATTGGAAAGTTTGGAAATGCGCTTAGTTGTCGTTTTCAGGAACATAGAAAGCATTTCATGTTTCATCTTATTGTTTATACAATATTGAGAATCTTTTCTTCGCCAGCGAATAGTCAATACAACGGTAATGGAAACTTATTCGACGTATCTGGCAATATTTTCTTTAAGAATAAAGCACAACGTTTCGACCGAGAATTCCGGTCCTTTTCAAGTAAAAAGTCAGACAAGTGTCAACCAAGTCGGAATCTGAATGTTGTGTTTTATTCTTAAATAAAGTATTGCCAGATACGTCGAATAATTTTCCATTATCTTTGTATTAATTGTTTATACGTTGTCTTTCGTTTAATCGTTTGGAGCACAAGTTGTGGTAGAAGAATCTCTTTTACAGTTAGTTATTTGTCAAAATATTGTACACACACACTCGCGCACACACATAACATATACACACATACATGCATACTTGTTTTATTTTAAGTGTAAGAGAAACATGATGAAAACACCTGCGTGGTGCTCTGTAAACTATACTTTTACCCCCTAAAAAAGATTCCGTTTATTTACAAGATATTAATCCTTCGTCTGAGCTCGTCGATCTACGACGTCCGAGCCATAGTAACACATGGACACGTGTCCTCGTAACAGTATTCAGAATTTATTAAGAAATAAAATATTTAATAAATACATTTTTATGAAAGTGACTACGACATCGTCAATTGTACTTATTTCAGGCGATATTTCGGGCAGTACTTTAAGGCGAGGAAAATAGCGTCAAACGCGAACAGACCCACGTGTCTACTAAAAAGGTACCGGGAGAACACGTTCAGTCGAAGGATTAATAATAGAAGTTGTTGGAAAGTACTTGATAATAGATTTTAATTCGAACATATATAAAAGCAGTCACATACTTTAATTGTACTAACATTGTTCATGTACATCATGCATTGACATGTATTTTTTTATAAAGCCAGATACGAATAAATTCAAGCTTTTACGAGGTGTTTTTACTTCTGTCGCGTATCCTCCGCGGTTTTCCGAATATTTCTCCTTTACTACCGAAAACTATCAGATCCCTCGTTCATATTGGTTATTTTTCATTCAAACGAACGATCGAGAGCGTAGCCCAATAATTGTAATTTAAAATGCGAATTCATACACTGATAACAAATATAGCTTAATAAAAAAATATTACTTTACGAAAATTATTCATTAGGTGGCTCCTAATAGCTTAGTAACTTAAATTTAAAAAATAGTAAACAAATTAAAACATGAATTGCTTTAATTTAAATGTTTATTAAATATCAAAGATTAGATAATTTTAAATTTAAAACATTTTATTTTAATTCTATAAAATGTTTACTAAGGCGTACTTTTCACCGTGAAGAAAATTGGATTTCTTATTTAACAAAAACAATTACTTCATTTAATAAATCGTATTCTATATCACATGAAATCTTTATTTGAATGTAGAAAATGTAACGATTTAAATTAATTTACTTAATATAATACATAGATTTACTTGAAATTTATTATTTTTATTTAAATAGAATAAATACACTTACTCCAGTATAAACAATAATTTTAAGTAAATCTATTTACTTGGTTTAAAAAATTTTTTTTGTCAGTGTACACCGTTTTCCACCTTGTCCTGCGCGCCGGTTTCTTTTCGGACATAACAGTTTCATTTATACAATGGGATCTCATGGAATTTATTTTTAATTGTTACACGATATCGCGTACGAAGTGATTGCGAGAAAGTGTAAAGTAGACTGTTAAAGATAGACGCAATTTACATCTTCCGCCAAAGGTATCGGAAGCCCTCTCGCAATCTCGATTCAAATTTCTCGACTTTAAACGCGGGAAGAATCGATACTCGATTTGCCAAACAATCAGAATGACCCGCCGAGCTCCGTTTACTGCGCTTATTCGAAATACGATGCGTTGTGTACCGTCGCGTTTCCGTTGACACGCCCCGAAGGTCTATCGTTCCCCGATTCAATTTCCTTCTCGTACAATCGCCAGGATGTCGCAGGTAAGTTGCAGAGGTTGCGGTAACTCTGCACTTGTCTATAACCTCGTTTAAAGATTTAACCCTCGAGTTAACCTCCTCACCGTTTTCCTTACAGGCGCCGAAACAGGTAACCGGTCACATGCTTAACACCGAGTTAATAAACAGTCACCTCAGCACACCCTTCCTATGTTTTTTTTCCCCTAGCAACAGAATGTCGAGCATAAAGAGAAGAAGAGGAAAGAGAGTATTCTCGACTTGTCCAAGTATCTCGAGAAGAATATACGAGTGAAATTCGCCGGCGGCAGAGAAGCCGAAGGTATACTTAAAGGTTATGATCCCCTACTCAACCTGGTACTCGACAACACAAAGGAATATCTTAGAGGTAATGTGCGATTAATCATTCTTCTTCTTGTTCTTAGCGTAGGGAATATTTCCTGTCCGGTTCCAACGTTACTGTCCGAGGCTAGTACGTTGATACTGCGAGCGGTATATCTTTTTACATCAGGTAGGCTGCTAACTTGGCCTCAAAACCCTCCTTTCTCATCCGGATTTGGGACCGACAACGGCGGAGTATATACTTGTATGTGTGGCAGAGATATTAGGCTTGTTTTCTGTTGCTGGCACTGGTGAACTAGTGCAATGAATTAGAGTAAGACAGGTATATTTTTCTCATTCTAGCTTACTGCACCAGTTCATCAGTGCAGCAATAGAAAACAAGCCTATTGAATACTTTCCGGTGGTTGCCTCCGAGGAGGTGGTATTCGATATAAAATCCATCCAAGAAAAGCCAGCGGTGTTGGCGGATTTTTGAACTCTGGTCTCTTTGTTTATTTGTTTATTGAGCGGCATACATTTCTCGCCCCAAACTTTTGTGTTTGAAACGTTTTTCCATATCTTTCATATTTTTGGAGACGTTTGCGTGGATCATCTAAAATGAGACACCCTGTATATTACATGATATTAACTCTATATCATTCGCGAGAGGAGCGAAATAGATCCCAGCCTTAGAAATCTACTGAATTCACAGATGAAATTTCTTATCAACCAAAATTGCTGTGCAAATTGTCTCGCAAGTAAAAAAGAACGCTTTTGCGCTTATCTTTGTCTAGGAGATTCCACGGAGTATTATCGATCTTTATTTAATTGTAAATTATCAAAGAGAACAAAAATGAAAGTTGAAGTATAACGCTGAGATGCAAGACACACTCCACGCGAGTAATCACATTAAACGAAAAACTGCGAGTAATGTAGGGTTAATTTAACTTTCTAGGAGTTTGAGTGTAAAAGTATTAATATTTTGTGCCTAAAGAAGCGAGCTGCCTTTTATTTATTGTTGCTGATTGTTAGTTAAAAATGTTACATTGCAAGTTGTCAATCTCTTTAATCGCAATTATGTATTATATTTGACTTTTAATCTTGCAACACTAATAAATCCTCTTAATTTCTGTAAACAGATCCAGACGACCCATACAAATTGAATCAGGACACTCGTATGCTGGGCTTGGTGGTGTGCAGAGGAACATCCGTAGTACTCATTTGTCCTGTAGATGGTATGGAATCCATTCAGAATCCGTTTATACAACAAGAAGGATAGGCAGGAAGGACCTTTACAAATCAATATGTGTTACACCTTAGAAAGGGAACCAGCTTAAGCTCTTGAATATCATTTTCACTTTTTTTAATAAAAATATAATTTATTTTTTGCATTATAAATCGTGAGGAAGCTTACATATACAGAAAATAAATGCCATTTTCTTATAAAGATACAGGTTTCTATGTTTACAATAAATAATACAATTGCACATCTAAATAAGGTACCATGTGGACTCACGATGATATACAAGTAGCATAAGATAATAAGTCCTATAAGTCACTTCTATAATCATTTTCATTCGATCCCGAATTCGTTTCTCAGCCATGGATATTGTTTAGGACATTCGAAACATGTGTGTAAATACCTATATGATTTGAGCACTTTACTGGGTAATTTGCAACTATTTGGCAAGTCACAGGCCATCTCATACGGTTCAAAATGTCGTTTCGCGCATTGCCACGGTGCAAACTTTTCAATCTCGCTCGTGGGCGTTGGTCTGCGCATCCATTGTACAATTTGATGACTCGTGACGAAAAATACGTCGTCCAGCCGAAGTAGATCATCGACAAATTTCTAATTGCATATAAAAAATAAATATTCTTTATGATTAAACAGAAATAACAAAGTTTCCCATAGGTGAATAAAAGTTATAATAATCTTAAGTATGCTACACTTTCTTACTGCTGTAATTTTTAGTGCTATGATTTTTTTTTTAATTAATCGTAAATGTATAGAAATTGATACGGTAAGTATTCTCCTAAAAATAGAATAAATAATGGAAATTATAGAGTAATAAATATGACAGTGAATAATCTTATTTTTGTTAGTTAATAACAAGCACCGTCGATTTCAATAATGAATAATATTTAAAGTCCTACTTACATTGAATGCGTAAAAATACATTGGATTTTGAAACCACGATGTGTGAAAGTGTAAGCCGAAGGGTGCGCGATTGGTAAGATAATGTCTTTTAAAGTTCAGCATGAGCATCTTATAAACGTCCTCGCCAGATAAGTTAGGGGGGCATGAATCCACGGTGCTGCAGGTGTAATCCTAAACAAAAAAATTCGCTAAATATTGCTTCTGCACATTCACAGTCATGGTCTTCGAGTATTGCGGACGCTTCCAATCTCGCGTTTTCTCTTTTTACAATGTGACTCGCGTACTCTTGTACCGATTTTACTGACAATGACCATCTTATAATTCTTACACGCACATTTTTTTTAAGATCGTGCTTGAAAGGACCAAAACCAATGGTCAAAATGTCGCACTATTGTATATTAAACTTGGGCTAGTTAACGTCGATACAAATTTATTTATTGTTATTTATTACTGGCAAACCTAAGAATCTCAAAATATTGCTTCTATACATAAAGATAAAAGTAGAAATCTTATAGTAATTTGATAATAAACGAAAATATAGGAAAAGAAAGATTATTGTCGAATACGGGAAATTTCAGTCTTATATTTGAGATTATAAGAAATATAAATTAAGGTAAATTTAGATACTGTAGAAAGGAAATTCGATAATATATCGATTAGAAGAACTTTTAATCATCCGATCGTTCTACGTAATACAGAAAGATTAAGTTTTCTCATTGTCATACATTGATAATCTTATCTCGCTCTTTCACCTTTATTTGATACTCATTGATAAATTTCCATTCACACGTGACTCACGTACATTTGCCAAAAGTTGATTTAAAGGTAGTTCCCAGATGTTCGGATAAGACCGGGTGGGACAGAGTTGCCCTGCGCGCATACACGGATGCGGAGGCCTGTAGTCAAGCGTGTAGGGCCAAAAGGGTAGATCGGAAAATGGTGCGACGATCGAGGAATCGTACACGAAGCCAAACTCAGACATCATCAAAAATTGGCGATTCCACCCGACCTGTAGAAAAGGCGCCCTTACCCCTACGACATGCATCACTTTATAATAAATACTTTTATTATTTTTTAAATAAGATTACGTTGGTAAGATACATGCGATATTTGTTATGTTTATTATAGTTTACAATATAAATTTATATGTACGAAAGTTCTGTCAATAATTGTGCCTTTTCCTTCCGTCAGGTTAATCTCGATTGAATAGTTGATCTAGTATCGAACTGAAAATGAGATTTCTGTACCTTTGATCTCGCCGATACGAACCGCTGCATATTTCTTGATGATGTTCGCTATTCCGACCATCTCGTCGAACCAGTCCTCGATCGTCGCGTTCTTCGACCACCATTCTTCCGGCCCACGATGTCTGAGAAATAATCTTCGATTCACTTCACGTATCGAGTTAAAAGATTCTTTGCGACTTTTCTCATTGCAGCTCCCCCTTTCTTAATATTTGAAATACTCACGTGACGGAATGTGCGGCTATTTCGTGACCGATGTTCCATAAATATTGCACATCCCTGTAATTCGTATATTGATGACTAATATAGAAAGTACCTCTTATAGGACAGCCATTAGGATTTTTTCTGTTATCCGTAAAAATTTCTGCAAATAATCAAACGATTATTTTCCATAATAATCTTTTCCTTCGCCAGGAAATTTCTATTATTATGAGGTGAGGATAAAAATTAGCATTAAACTCCGAACGTATTATCCCTGGATAATTTTGTATTGACTTAGAGTTGTTGCAGATTTACTCAGATCATTTAAATAAGAAAAGAAGGGAAAGGGACATGGTGTATAAATAAATTACTTTAATCGTTAACTTCTTATTAACTCACTTGAAAAGAGTTCGAAATTTTCAGCATTTACAGCGTCATCGAAAGTGATCGTGATCATTTGTGGAATCGCGAGTGCAGTGAGATTCCCTGGAACTTGAGTCCCGTCTTTAGAACACCAACACTTTGGTAACTGGCACTTCTGCGTATCGCAAACCGGCGCGGCATTTATATCGTGTCGCATGTCTGTAACAGATGGAGGCTTTCATTAATGACTGGCCTGCATTATAAATGACTATTTTATTTTTGTACCGTGATCGAGAAATAAAAGTGCCATTTTTCGTATTTTTCAATTTATAAACAAAATTCTAAAGATTCGAAACGAACGTATTTCATGAAATTTAGAAAACTTTTTATGCATTGACAAACGTTTTATTTGCATTTTTTCTATTTTTTAAGATTTAATTTTACCGTAATACTGAATTTTTATCGCAACAAAACTATAAATGAGCTCATCACTCATAGAAGAATCTGCTGGTTGAATTAAGTGCGCTCTGTAAGGAATGTCCTATATGTGCGAATGAAGAACTCGATATAACATATGCGCATTCGCTTCGCATTTCTTACCGCACCATCCTTCGTCGGAGCCATCGGGACAATCGACACTCCCGTCGCAAAAATATAAAGCCGGAAGACACGTGCCGTCTCCGCAAGCCAAACTTTCCTCATCACACTCGCCGTTCTTGAGCAGCGGCTTCGCCGGTTGTGCATCTACGAGAAACTTTGAAAACTTCACATCACCATTCGGTACATAGGAACTATACTTCCTTAAATTGCGAAGACTGTCTTTTCACCAGGGAGGGATTAATTTTACAAAAAAAAAGTCAAGTAAGAATTTTACATGTTTGTCGCGTATTTGGAAAAAAAGTTAAAATATGCGTACATGATGTTTATTTGCATCTGTGTCTATAATAGCGTTATTTGCAGTAAATGTCTAGGTACTAATAACTGTTCTTCTTCCTCCAACAGATATGATAATGACAGATGTGTTTCACGAATTAGAATTTTCAATGAGTCTCAATGTTCACAAACAATGAAATGACTAACTTGTCATCGCTGTATGATTTTCCGGGTGAAAGTATTGCGTGTACAACACTCGATCGCTTTCTTAAGAGTAGAAATCGGCATAAAGTTTGCCGGCGTTTGTTTGTAGTCGCAGGACCTCCTCAGCCTTTCGCGCGTCTGTGCGTTTCAGTAGACTTAGCATAAATATCTAGCATATACCTGAAGTTACGTCGCAATTATCGACATTTGTTTTAAAGTCACAGATCTGCCTGGAGACATCGAAAAGAAGTCCTTGCGAGCACTTGAATTCGAACACTTCATTATCTGAAACACGATTTAACGATGTAATAGGCGTAAGTCGAAATTTTTTTTTTAATTTGTGCCGTAACAAACTTACTACGGCTTTTTCTTGATTTTAATAAGCACAATATAAATAATATAAGAAATAATAGAAATAAAACATTTTTGAATGCAAAAACAATGTTAAAATATTCGTGTAAAAGAATAAGTATAATAAAATGGAACGTAGTACGTATATTATATGCTTTTAGTTTTTACGTATAAGACAACTTCTCATGTTGATTTGTGATTGCGTTTGTGGTTGCAAATATTATTTCTATAAGTTTTTGCATTAAAAGAACATTTTATCTTAAAAGTAATATAAATAAAAGAAAGAAGAAGACTTTTAAATTCAAATGCTCATTCTCACAATAAGCAATGATAGCAATTCCTTTCCCGTATATTAAGCATGTTTTAGTCTTGCAATTTTGATGCAAACTTATACAGAAATGTAAGATCAGACGTTTATACAATAAAATTAATTTATTGATAATTTATTAGATAAATTTATCGACGAGATCGAAATATATATGTGTGTCAAATTGCTTTCTTGACTCTAGTTTTAAGCGAAGACAAATGATTAATAAAACTTATTAGTTTAAATAGATTTTCCCTTTTATGATCTACAATTACCTAAACAGAGAAAATATTTAGCACATTCGGTAGGTGACCAGACGCTGTGCGATGGTGCGTTAGGATTACGATAAAACTTGTTGTCGTCTATACAAGGAACTTCTCCAGATTTTCCTTTCTCCGCCGCGGTATTTGCTGAAAACATCACGATGTGGAGGTATAAGTTATGTGACCCAATTTTCCTCGTTTTCGTATATTTAAAAGTAAATAAGCATTTTTTATAAATTAATAAATAATTATTATTATAAATTTTGCGTTAGAACTTCCACTGGACGTGCTTGACCAGCCCGTACGTGCGTAATTAATGGTACAACTGAAGAAATATCAATTTAATGATATAACTGAAGAAATATCAATTTAATGATATAACTGAAGATATATCAATTGTTTGTCGCAATATTATTCCATTTTTCACTATTTTTTCGCGACAACAATAGCACACTATTTTAATTATTTAATCTTAACCAGCAATTCCCATACGAACTTTACGCAAATTTCTTAGCGGTTTTTTCAACATTTGAAAATATTGGTAGTTTTTCCTTTTTTTTTCTTTAAATAAAGATTTTTTCATTAATTTGATTTTAAATTACATATTTTAAAGTAGAACAGAATTAAGATTAAAAATTGTTCTACATGAAGAAAATATCGATTTTAAATTTCCAAACCAAGAACGGAACTTTATAATTAAAAGAAAGCCGCGATGCGTCAGACATTCTGTACGGTGTACAAAGAAGTCTACCATTGAAGTAAATCAAGGAAAGTATTTTTAAGAAGAGTGAATACTATCGAAGATTGAAACGATTTCAATGTCCCACGGTTACGAGATTATCTTTAGGCGCGCGGTACTTTCACGTTCCGTCTGGCTGTTCAGAAACGGATATATCTGTAGCGTACGATGTACGCTTGTTCGAAGAGAAATCTCATGCGATTAGCGCCATCGTTTTCACCCGAATGCAAAAACGGAAATAAAACTTTCGGCGTGCATCGTTCAAAGCAAAATTCCCATTTTAATTTGTCGTCTACTTCGCAATAAATCAAAATTACAATCGATTCAGTTGTATCGACATTATTTTTCGGTAAATAGAGAGAGAGAGAGAGATTTTCCAACAAGACAGCTTACCTGAATAAACAATTTTTTAAATTAATTTTATATGAAAAATATTTTGTTTGTTTAGAGACATATCGACTATATATATAAGCCATAATATAGTTGAAAAATACTGTTTTTAATGTTTTTAATTACATAAAAAATATTGCTGTTAAAAATTATTTTATGTTCAAACTTACCCATATATTTTCACATAAAAATATATTACATTATTTTTTAGTCCTACTCACGTGGATGAAGAAAGAGGGTTTATTTAGTTATTTTCTCTCTCTCAGATTCTAAATTTAAATACATTTACTTTACATTACTTGAGTGAAAAAATTAATATATATTAGATATATTTTTCACTTTACTTTTTATTATTGTACTACATGTATCAGCAGGTAAACTGGTATGGTGTCTCTTATATCAATTAATGTGAAAATTTTGCTTATCTCATATTTATTAATAAGTTTACTTAAATTAATAAATTTAGATTATTTTTCAAGAGTTTAGTCTTTATAATATAAATAGTATAAATACAGATAGTTTTCACAGCATTAAAAGTTGCACACATCAATATTGTAACACTATTTGTTAATGAAACAAGTTTATCTGAATTTAAAGCTATCCACGTTACAATATTATCAAAATTTGGTTACTTAAATAACAGAATGGATAAATAAATTGCTTAACAAAAGTTTATCGCGTACTCGTAGCGACTCACTGGAATAATCAATTAAAACACTGCGTAATGTTTTAAAAATGTATAAGTTCACCTCGATAAAATTTATACGAAGATCTCAAAAAACTCTCTACAAGAATATATGCAATATTGTTGTTAAAAGTTAACACGCGATTGCAGTATAGAATGAAAAAAATATTATTCCTTTTTATACAATTTTTGTAACATTTATTCACTAACAGTGCCATATAATGTTAACGCATTAGAAATGGAACGTCCTCATATTACATTGCTTTTAAATTAAAACACTTTTCCAGACTTTGATTGACGTTTTAATGAACAGGTTGGCGCGCGATTTGAAGTGGAAAAAAAACTTGCACTCACGAACACTTCTGAAATTGCGAAACTCACCGGAAACGGCGAGCAACGTGATCAGCACAAAATGAAGTCTCGACCGCATGTCGATCTCTTGTGCGCGGATTTGTACCGGTTCCACGCGCGACAGCTCGCACTTTCAAACTGACGGCTACCTACGAAAGCATGCCTTATATGACGAGTACCTGCTTCATCGCGCTTAATCACGCGGATCTCTTCCAGACCGACTATTTTCACTCGTCTCTAACGATCGCAGTACAGCTATTTCGAACGCCGTATAATACATTCCTCGGTCAATTTGAAGTCGATCGACGGAAATATCGAGTCATCGTTTATCGCCGACTGTCAACATTTAGCATTGTACACTTATAACTAACAAAAAACTTCAAATTTTCGATCACTGCGATACTAAAGTCTATTTACAATTAATAAGAACTATAATTTTGTTATCTTCTGCACTCCTGAAACTTAGCTTATAGGATCCTTATTTTTAATTGTTATCGCAAAACGTTGTTGCATTATCGTTGGGCAGCAAACGTTAATCTTAATTTAACGTTAATGTTTAACGTTAATTAATTAATTTATATTAATTGATCAACTTTGGTTGAAATTGTGATGACATTAAAATTAGTTTTAATTTAATAAAATATTCGTTTAAATTTGATTACGTTTATAATACCTTATTATTATTAAGTTAAAACGAGAGAGAGAGAGAGAGAGAGAGAGAGAGAGAGAGAGAGAGAGAGAGAGAGAGAGAGAGAGACTTTCCAAGATCGAGTAATTAGAATGCAGCATTGTGTGAAGTTAATTGTCATATTTATAATTTGTTGAACAACTTTTCAGTTCAACTTAGAATATATTTGAGACAATTTCAATATCGCTCAATCAACTCGAAATAAAGTTGAACGGATTCTTCGAGACAAAAGTAGGTGTCAATTATTTATAAAATATACTTGGAAAATTAGATTAAGAATCGGTGTATAACGGTATGGTACATTAACCATATCAATCGACTTCCCTTTTTTCCTTTTCCTGTACAAGCGTAATTCTTGTGTAAGTAGAGAGGCGTGCATACAAGTAGAGCGGAATGCGATACGCAATGTATAATGCTGTCCTCTTTAGTGGAGATTTCAGTTTAATTTCTTAATGCGTCGATACAATTTTATTAAAACTTACGCTTCCATGTGAAACTGAAAATTATTTCTTTATTCTTTAAATAGGTTCTTTGAAAGCTTCTCTTATTTATTTCTTCTTCTCGAGAAATGTGTGTACCGTAAAAACATTCTTTTACAAGAAGGCATATCAGAAATGCGGTTGCAAATATATTTTAAATGCCGATTGAATAGTATGAGAAAGCTTGATATGTTTTTTAAATTTGTTACATGTCAAGTTATGAAACGTCGATCAAATAAACACGAAATATTGTAAAGAATACATATTATAATGTAATTTATAATATTATAATATTAATATTATAATATTGTTATATATAAAATATTTGCAAGAAAATATCAATTTTCGAAATTATATCTAACATAAAACAGCTGAATATGTGTCGAGCTATTAATAATTTATTAAGTAAGTTAATTTCAAATGTATAACGTAACGAAACATTTTTTTAACATTAGCTTTCAATATTCAGCTTCTGAAGAAATGTCGCGAGGCGATCACAAATAAACAACATTCGCATTGATCGCAAACCCTTTTCGATGCTTACAAAAGAGAAGCGTTTTGCATGGTATAAATTTCGGACTCAAAGAGTTAATCATGCAGCACTGAAACATCTCCGAAAAGTGACGATGTACTTGCGCTAATTAATTATCCCCTCGCGAGATAAATCGCGCATTTATCACTCTCGCGTTTACACATAGTTTGGTAGATCTAGGCGACTGTAATTATTACCGGTTAGGCACTTCGCCAAATAACCGTACATAATTGCGAAAAGTCTATAGACGTTTGGCAGCTCGCTCTAATTTGCCGCGCAAGTTAATTCGAAAGTTTCTTTGAAACAGCGTAAGCATCCGATGAACTCGACATACATCGTGTCTGCAACAGTTCAATTTTGTCTTCAGAGATTTCAATACTTTGTGAAAAATCATTTCAGATGAGAAAACTTTATCTTCAGTTGGCAAAAGCCCACTTATAAATCAAATCTTCAATTGAGGATTTTTTAAGAATTATTTAAGCAACTATCTGCAATTATCTTATTATTTAAAACTGTGAAGAGACACTGCTCTTCATTCTTGTTTCCTTTGTGCCGTTATTACTGTAGTATCTTTATGGGTAATGAAGTGAGACGAGAATGAAAAATAAACAAATGCGTTTCATAGTTGTTGCCTTGCCAAGAATTACTTCACGTTCCTGGCCGTGCCATTAATCATTCCTGGATATCTTAACAAACTAAAATGTGATTGAAATAAAGCATATACAAACTTCAGAGAACGCCGAAATTTGAAGACTATCTGAGAAACTTCGGAAAAGAAAATTAGAATCTTTTTTGTGCATCTGAATTGTACGGTAAATGTATTCAAATGAAAATATGTTAAAGTAAAGATGTTGATTGTACACCTTAAACGATCCGAATGAAAACACTTGAATTTGCAATTTAAAATCTAACCTGCTTATTCATCTATTTCCTATCGTACGTGTTATAGTTTTGGTAACAAACACATTATTAAAACCATGGTATGTGTTGGCTCGCGATGTGAAATATATTTTCGGACTGAAGATATTCAAAGCTACCATTAAAATGCACAAATACTCCCAATTCTGACACGCGAGCTTATTTACGCGCTATCGGCAACAAAGAGAGTGAACACACGTGTCTCGTGACGGTCCACCGTGTCCACCGAGGACAGACCATGTACGAAAATACATTTACGTGGAGCAAGAAGATAAATCGAGGTGGCGGCGAGCGGCAGTCGTTGCTTCGTTGACCTCCGTTCAAATTAGAATAATGCCGCGAAGAGAACACCGATAGAGGAGAACTGCTGGCAGAACACGGTGGGAAGTTTTCCTAAAATATATGAAGTCACAAATTGCATGTTTCCATTGTGTGTGTGTGCGTGTGTTATTTTAATCGATCAGTTATACATCCGGTATAACTGTATGCCTGTGCACTAGGAATCACGGATGCCTTCCCACATGAATTTAAGCACAAGTAGAACACATACTTATACATTTTCTATAAAAAGCGAACGATCGAACACGTCGTTTTTTCTTTCATGTCACCTTTAAATTTTATTTTTATTCGTGCATTTGTCTTCCCGACCGTCCTGCTGCGCGGCACCTCGTCTCTCGGAGCCCGAGGTAGTCTCATCTCGAGAATAATTGCCAAGTATCGAGGAAACGTGTCTCCTCACAGCCCTGTCACACGTCGTGTACGACGGCACGAGGAAAGTTCTCGGTCGAGTCCGATTTCAGCGGGGCTTCAGTTAAATTCGGACCCCTCCGTTTCGTAGGTCGGCTTATTTAGAATTTAGGTTTGCGACGGTCAACGGCAACTAGAAAGGCGGAAATAGAGCGGTTCCAAACATTTCGTTCCGCGACCTGTACGATGCAAACGAGGGAGACGTAACAGATAATTGACAGTTTTCCCTATTGTATCATTGGAGAACACATCCAGAAGAGTCAACAGAGTTGAGCCGCCTTGATCTTTCTTCAATTTCATGAAAGCCACATATTTTCTGCGCGATTTATGTATACAAAATATAGAGGAAATTCCCCTATTATGAGATAGGATCCTAATATGGGATAGCGGGGTTTTTGTTAAATTAATAGGCATTCCACCATGGACTTATTGCCCTTAAAGCGAAAACTGTTTAGTGGAAAATTCCTTGTTAGATTGTGTAATCGTTGCGGAAAAAGATTTGCGATTGAATTTGGATGTTGAAAACCATGCCATCTTATATCAGAAACCTATCTCATAATAGAGGACTTTTCTCTAGTTGTTTTTTCATGAATTTGCAATTGCATGTTACAAATTTTTTCTGTCAGAAGTAATTTTTTTATAGATCTGCACAGATGATTGCAAAAATTTTTCTTAATAATCATCTTATTATCCCCTTGTCAGATGTTGGGACGAATTCTGGGAGAGAATTCCAGAGACAGAAACGCTGTGTATAAGGTGGGGGAGATTTTTAGACAGTGCAAATTGGTATAGTAAACGATAGCTGCTATAAGGGACAAGGACTAGATCAAGTGAGGTGAACGAAGGTTTCATAGGATTCGACGGGCATAGATACGCCACGCTACAAATTTCACCGTCGTTGTTATCATTGTCATCGTCACCACCACCGTCACCAAAGTCCGAGTTCCTCTTCCCGTACGACATCACGGCCTTTGTACCCTTCCCTCAGAGGGGGTAGCCTAAGTTTAGACCCGGCGAGACTCTGGACGAGTTCAGTGTGAAACCACCATCCTCTAGAATCACTTTCTTCGCGCAGGACGCGCTTTCCGCGTGGAAGCTCTCGTCGCGTTGTGTTCCAACCGGCGGGGAAGCTCGTCGTGCGGTTTGGAAGGACGTTTTCGTCCTCTTGGTCCTCCGTCCTGGTGTTTAAAAATTTTACATCTCGCGAAGAAAACTAGAAAGCGAGGGGAGAAAAAGATTATCGTCATCACGATGGCGTACAGCTGGGATAATCGTGTTAATTTCATAGTGAAATTTCTGTACGGTTAGTAGATGCAAAGAATATTGCAGGGGCAGTTGTGTGGGGTAGAATCAGGAGAGAACAACTTACAATTAGATAGATACCGTAGTTGTAGGAAGAGTATATTTGCTCTACGAGATCTCGACGTCGAAAATTGAAAATAAATGATGACTTATTCTGCAAAAATAAGTCAAGGTTTAAAATGAATAAACTTCTTTTATATAAAGCTTTGTTTTAGTCGAAAAGATTATAAAATTTCTATATACAATATTTGCAATAAAACAAATCGATATTTTTCAGTTTATTAGTTGACAAATTAAATAATATCTCCTCTATTAAATAAATGAAAATACATCTCTTTGCATTGACTTGCACGTGTGTGTCTTCCTTCACAAGTGTGTGTAAATCTCGTGACATGTAGTAGTACAATATACATAGAAGGGATGTCTCACACCGTAACTATAAGATACGAAAATGTCAAATTTTATGTAATATTTAACTGTATATAATAGAGTAAACGTGGTTCACTCCTGTTTGTAAAAATTCGACAGTTGAAAATAAGTGCGCTTAGCGAAAGAGACATCCTTGTATAACTACAGATATCGATAACAACGGATACTTGGACAAGCACGATTTCGAGTGCATGGCTCTAAGAATGACTCTAATCGAAGGCAAGGGCGAGTTCAACTACAGCCGGTACCAAGAAAATCTTCACATCATGCTGTCTTTGTGGGAAGAAATAGCCGATTTGGCAGATTTTGATAAGGTATGTCACAAGATATTGTTTCTATATAACGGACCGAACCGACTATCTCTCCTGGCACAACTTAGCTCTTGTACCGGTTTCAAATTCTTCGAATTCTTCAGTTGCTTAAGATTCTAACTTGAAATCATTCGCAATCTTTGTTCCAAAACAATTATCTAACGATCTATTAAAATCCGTATCTGTATTTTGCCTTGGTGATTTTGCGAAAATCATATTTAATATTTGGCGAGCTTTTTTAGATGAAATTGATAATTAAGATTTCATGTTTAATTTTCATTGAAAATTAACTTGAAAGGCAATAGACAAAGGATTTTATAAGAACTTTGTAAACCTGGATATACAAATAAATTGGACTGGAGTATGCAATATTTATTTAATAAATCTTAAATTTATTTAATATTCCAAGAAAAATAAGAAACCTTTTGATAAATATATAATAATAATTACGTCAAAATAAAAAAAATTAAATATAACTAATGAAAAATAAGTTCTGATTTCTGTATTATTGATGTACACATAATGACGTATAGAGAGTATTAATCTTTCGTAGCATATTACAAGAAAAATAATCACATCTATTTATATTACTCCTTTTTTAGGACGGTGTAGTAACAATAGAAGAATTCAAAAGGGCTGTGCAAAATAGCTGTGTTGGTCGTTCTTATAACGATTTTCCTCAAGCTATGAAGATGTTCATCGATAGCCACTTCAAAATACTTGACATGAACGGTACTGTGTAATATTTACAAACGTGAGAAATACGTTGTGCAGAACAGCGAATAAATCATATTGTCTATAAAATTAGATCAATAGAAAAAATTGATAATAGAAATTACTCTAAAAGAATTAATTTTTAATTTTTATTACTGTTTCAGAGGACGGCGTAATTTGTGCCGAAGAATTTCGATACGATTGTGTTTCAAGGATTGCTGTGGATAATGTAGATATCCTTGATAAAGCTTATCAAAGTCTTTTGAATGTAAGTAATATAATTATATCAATGAAATAGAAATGAGTACTTGTTAAATCTGCCTCTCTTTTATATAAATCTAGGAATAAATCAATTTCTGATTCTTCAAAGAACTGATGCTATAAAGCACTCATTTTTATCCAATTTTTATTCTCCATACAAGTTAAATACATTTAATTAAAAGATGCGCATTTTTAAAATTTTCTAATAAAAGATATGCAAAGTAATGAAGAATTATACTAATGCAATTATTTTATTTAAAAAAAAATTGTTATTGTATCTCATTCCACACGCTTGGAAAATATTTTAGGCAAATATCTTAAATCTTCGGGAAAGAATTTAACAATATTTCCAATGCATGCATGGCATATATTTATTTAAGAAATAATTGCTTTAAAGTGGCCATTACGTTAATAGGATGACGATAGAAGACGAGGTGGATTGACCTTATCGCGTTATCAGGAATTATATGCACAATTTCTCGGTAACCCTGACGACAACTGTCCAGCAATCTACCTCTTTGGACCAATAGAACTAGAATCATAACTGAAATATTCGCCATTTCGAAGCACCATGAATCTTTATTGTATGTACAAAGAGATGCACACACACAAAATGTATTTAACTTAATCTGTACGAATTCTCGTAAAAATTATTATAATAAATCTGATATTTTATTGTAAACGAAACATTTTTGCATATCATACTTCACGTATGATAAACGTCAAGACCTCAATGTTAAATTTTGTTTTTTATTATGTCGCATATCGGCTGATCACTATTTCTGTTATTAAGTCTTTTCGCTGCTCACAACAGCGATATACGTATATCAAATTCATTTTCTTGAAAACTGTCACAATGTATTTCCAGATCGATGATTAGATAGAATTTGTTAAATAATAATTTACGCGCGCGTACGTGTATTTAATGTGCATTCATGTACGTGATCACAAAAGTGCAAATTACGACAGACCGTATAGGTTTTTTTCTGAAATATAATTAAACGAAATAGCATAATGTAATTATACGGTACAAACAGGAGGAAATTTATTTGTATTTATATGACAACATAGTACGCTTTGCTATTTCAGAGGCACACATCTCTGTTTTTTTTTCTTCTATTTATTATTTCTTCCGTTTATATCCGTCATAACATCAAATTAATTTGACGCTTACACTTTCTCACTTTGTCATATTTATATCGAAGCTTATATTGATATGCATTTCGTCATATACATGGTGCAGTATAAATTGAAAGATTATTTATGATTAGTACTCTTCGAACCGACCAGTACAATATACATTAAATTTAACGGTATCACTTCATACGTATATCGAACACACTCTTATATCTGCCAGACAATACAGTATTTTAGTACACGATTTATAACATTTAACGCAGCCATCTCTCTTTTTTTCGTGTCTTATACATTTATCTACACGCAATAACAACTTGAGAATTAACAATTTCGTATTTAGCGAGTTCTTTTTTGTATTTGTATGTACTGACGACAAGTATAAAAGTTACAGTCTATATAAAACGCTCGAACTAATGAGTTTTTAATCAGAAAGTACACAGCAGCCGTGTTGAAAAACATATTGATGTTACTTATTAATTCACCTGTTAAAGTTCTTGTTATATATATCGTACACAAACAAGAGTCACTAATGCAAAATCTGTTACATACATCGAGCAAAAGCGTCGTACTTCATGAAGAACTTACATCGACAAAGCGCACTAATGAATAAAATTGGCAAGTCTATCCCGCATTGGGAACCTAGCAATTGAATGTAACATAAACTACTCCATTCTCTTCCATTCGATGAAAATCTTACATAATTCTAAATATTTGGCTAAATCATAATAAATTCGTGTGTCTAAGTAATCAACCAGTAATCAAATTTCTTGTTGGAACAATAGAATACATTCAGCGAGATTGCAAAGCTCATCAAAGAAAAATATACTTGAATATATATTTTGCGATTTTTTAAAATTAATTTTAATCATTCAAGTATAATACAAGCATATTTTGAACAGGTTGATTGCTAGAATTGATTAAATTCGAATTTTGTTCCTTTGAGATTTTTGCTTACTAAGAATCACAAAATTAAATTCTTGCACAATTTCTAAACGTATACCGTGTATAACTATAGTATACCAGTGATTCAATTATTAGAAATAAAGTGGTTGAACTTTCTATTTGCAGTACTTTTAATCTTATCTTGCATATAACAATAATAAACTTAAGACTTTTTAAAAGTAACGTATAAACCATGTGTATGCTGTGTGAAATATGGAGTTACATGTGTATTGGTTGTCCCATGTAATTTATTTAATCTGTTCATATATGTAGAGTAAAAGAGATCGTTCACGCATTTATTTCCTCATTATAGTAATGTCTTAATTCAATCGACGATTATTTTCGTGTTTGATTTGAGGCAGTGATGCTTCTGCCAAAGTAACTTACTACTTTATAATTTCTACAGCTCGATTTATTTTCAGTCATCCAAGTAGGTATATCCATACATTCATAAATTTTTAGTTTTCAAATTGTATCACTTTATTCTTCTCTTTTATGAAAAAAGACAATACATTTTCCGTTATATTGAAATATAGTACAATTTTCCATGTGTCGGCTTGCGACTTGTTTTTCTCTCAGTACCTATAAATTCTAATAAAAAATTAGCTTACGTAGTTTTTGCAGTATAGTGTTAGACCAAATGCTTTCAAAGCAATTAGTTATCTCCTGAGAATGATTATGTACAAATCAACTTTGTGGATTCAACAAACCAAAACAAAACGCAAAAGAATATTTGAAAGAACATTCCAAGCTATATTATTATACGTATCGTTACATATGTCTCTCAGATAATTTTTTTTAATAACTAATAATTATCTGGAATAGAGACGAAATTTGACATTTGAATTGTGAAGACTACCGCCACAGTTTACAAAACATAGTCTCAAAAGGAAACACACAGCATAATAAAAATAATGTGAAAAATATATATTTGAATCTCAGACATGTTCCCCCATTGATCCATAGTAAGCTCCAGCGTCAAGGAAACAAAATATTATTTTACCTGGCCTTAATTTAATATCTTAACATGTCATAAATTCGGAACTTGGCAAAACAGGATATCATAAGTAGACAAAACATATACTCAAATCTAAACAAGAATACTGATAATTATACATTTCACGACGGAAATTTAATCCTTAAGTAACATGGTGAATGTTTATAACATACTATTTATGGCGAGGATATGTACACGTAATCATACCAAGCAGTGATTAGTATATTATAAGTTCCGTGATGATTTCTTATTAGAAAAATTCAAAACTTTTATTAACGGAATTCTTATTGAAACCAAAGATAATCTGTGTAGAAGAGTCACAATTTCGGGTATATTGATATAGTAAGATCTCTTATCAGATAATAATCTGCTAAGATTCAGAAGTTTTTATTAGATGGATACCTCACCATGCAACTTATGGATTGTAAGACTTGAAAACTTGAATCCTGATATAGATATCATTTTTATTTGCGGTTATCAATATTGATATCAATATTGATTTCATGCAACACTTCACTTGTGTAGTGGCTGTGGACGGCATAAGAACAATTTACAATTAATTATCAGAAGTATTTAAGGAAATCTCAAAATTCTTGATTAATCAAAGTTCAAAATACATGAAACCTTTAAGTATTTGATACATTTGATATTATCTATACGATAAACTGTCGCGACAGTTATTTTGCAAATGATACTAACTTCTTAGATAATTTACACATTGGAGAATTTTATTTTAATAATTAATTATTCAATTATTAATACATTTTAATGTCAGTTACATAATGTAATAACTGGATATCGATATCAGATAAAAGGATTCATGTAAGAATTGAGAAATGCATTTAAAAAAAAGAAAATGCATTTTATATCCGTCGCATTTTCTGTTACGTTCGACAACTTCGTAAATACACCTCCATTTTGCTTAACGAGTAATAGAAAACAAAAATTCTTTGTTCTAGATAAATTATTCTACATAAAATCGTTCGCACATACAATTAAGCGTTCGCAGTTGCGAAACATTTAAATTTCAAATACAGTCTGTGAAAATCTAGTAGTAAATTTTAAAAAAAAGAAGAAAGCCTTGCCCGAAATAAATATGTTAAAAATGACGAAGACCTACAACTATACAAATTTATTTATCGCTAAAATATAAATGCCAGCTATGACCGTAGATGGACATGTTCACCAATCTCGAAGAATTTTGTGGAATCAGTTCGCATTAAACTTTCTATATTTCGAGGGAGAGAACCCGTGAAGGAGACGAACCCTCTTGGTTCACAATGGTTCAAGATACACAATCCTATCGACACTTATTTAGTAGATTCATTTCAGTCCTTCTAAGTACAAAAATTGCATCCGATTAAATCGGCAACGATTAATTCTTCGTTAGAACGTTACATGGTGATCAGTCACATCAATGGAGTTCACACTGGCGTAGGAAGTGGACGCGCGCTGGTGGTTGTCGTTTTGGAGTAGAGGAGAATCCGGCTTGTCACGTTCGTGACGCCTAGCTTCACTTCCGCTCGCGAGTTCGCGGGCTCTTCTACGCCCTCGGCGCGACATCACGCCTGAAATATTAAAGGAGCACACCTTAAGCATCTCATATCTCCATCTCATCTAGCGTAATCTCCCATCGCACTGTATGATTACATTAAAATCGTATGGATTAAGATTGTGCTGTTGTGTGATAACATTGCTCAATACAGTCTCTTTTTGTGTACGTGTAATTTCCTACGTGTCTGTAACACTTCTATTTCTATTCTAGCTCTTCTATATAGACAGCAGATACACAGGGTCTCTCATTTTAAATGATCCACGCAAATATCTCAAAAAACATGAAAGATACGAAAAAACGTTTCAAACAAAAGTTGGTTCGAAGGGGGACATAACGTGGTGCCAACATATTTTCATTTGCCTAATACTTTTTGAGATATTCAAGAGAAAATTTATAACTTTTTCAATGTTTAGCTTATGATATCTCGATAACTGTTTGTCGGAGGGAAAAGTAGTACATGACTTTTTTTACTTGATTTGGTCTCAGGAATATGCTGTTGCAATAGTGCTCCAATTATTGAAAATTTTTGGAGATATTTGCATGGATCATTGAAAAAGAGACACCCTGTATACAAGAGACAACTCATTCAATATAACAAAGATAACATTTTATGCAACAAGATTACCCACATTTCTATAAAAAGTTCTATATCTTTAAACATTTCTTCAAGTGATAGACACGATAAAGCAGACGCATTTACAAAATATAGCATTCCAAAATTTAAAACAAGAGACTCTTTAAAGAAATCTATATTTTTTCCTTTTTTTATCTATAAATAAAAACACGCGTTGTATCTTTGTCAATATATTTTGAAAACCGTGCGATTACGAAATAAACTTTTACTTGCTACAAAATATTTTTTGTTGAAAAAATTTAAAAATAATTTGTGATGTATGAAAAAAAGGACAATATTGCAATGTGAACACCACATAAATAATGATCTTAATGACACATGACAGTGATCTTAGCCTATACATTTTTATCACCAGTGAGGATTTAAGTTTCCATATCCCTGTTAAAATAATTTTATAGCAGCATAAAATCAATCTATATTTACTATAATACGATTACAAAATTCGACAAAGAACTATTCTGTTATCGGTTGATGCATAGTCTCAGAGATTATATTTTATGTTGCAATCCATACGTAACATTGCATGCTATGCAACATACGATTACATAATAGAAAATATGTTACATAATGCAACACATTTTTTATGTACTTAAAATACATTACATTAAGACAGGCACAAAAAAACACGACGCACAAAGGCACTAATATATATAAGTAAAAGATGAGGTATTAAGTAAAATTATCTTTAATATCTCTAAAAACGTAAGAGTAGAAAAGTTGGTCTAACAAAAATTGCATAGTATACAAAAGAACATCGTACTGCGATAACACTTTCTATTCTATAAATTCTCTAAATTCTAGGTCAAACTTTTTCAAAACCAAAAGGACATTTTTTCTTAAATTAATTACTATATATATGTTTATATTTTTTTAAATAACATCAGTTAAAATAAATGTAATAGACTATTACGTAAGATCAAGATTATTTATTATAATACTATTTTCGAATGTGCTATGTATAAACTCGTAACTGATAATTCAATCGTGTACAATTAAGGATTCCACTGAAAGACGATAATAGTTATCAATGTAAATTTTTAACTGACAATTCAATCAGTAACATTTACTATTAGAATACCATATGATACAAAGATTACTACTATATAGTGACACTTCTCCTGTAGCACGCAGCATTTGTTAGATTTATTTTCTTCTACTTTCGAGGAAATAAAAAAGTAATTATTGTCACACCATGTATAATAATATACAAAAACAGGAAATTATTTAACACCATAAAGTAAAATTGGAATAACATATTTCTAAAAAGCTCTCTCAATACACACTCATTAAAATAGTCAGGAGCAACATCTCGAGCTTTAAATGCATGGTGTAACCGGAACAATCTTAACATTTAAAAAGTTTTTCTATATTAATATACAGGATGATTATCTTTGCCCGGCTGTAAATTTTCATAGCTTCCGTTCTAACAAACTTAATCTAAAAAATAAAACTTAGCAACTTTACTGAAGTATCATATGCATTAAGACTGATCTATTAATGAAAATTTTTCTAGTAGATTTTTTTATAGATTAATTTAAATATACTCGTATATGGACCGGAGGCTATGAAAGTTTAATAATAAAATAGTGAAAGATTTTTATAACTATCTACTATAGTGCAATTGGTAAAACTGAGAATGTTACAATTTAAATAAGATTACACACACGTTATTTACTGTCACGAGTATTATTAGCATTAATCTGTTGTGCATAGGAATGCATTAATGCAGTATTCAGCTACAAAATTTTGTCAAGGCTTTTTAAATGACCTTTAAAATTAAAAGAAATTTCATTTTCTGACAAATAAATTATAAATTAAAAATAAGAGAAAAACAGGTTAAAATGACTTCTCTTAAAATCTTAATTTGCACCTTGCAACAGATAGATTTCTAGGATTATTTGTAGGAGAAACACTGCATTAATGCGTGCAAAAAGTGCAATTGCATACTTTTGTCGTAAAAAATCTGATTACGTAATATTAAGAATACTGTTAAATATGTTAAATGTTATATGTTAAACATTAATGTGTTAAAATTAAAAATTATATAAACAAATTAAAATAATACATATTTTTAATAATTCTTAGAGTTTCTGCATGTGTGTACGAAATTAAAATAATGTGCTTGAAGTGTTTTGTGATTTTGAAATAGGTTGATAAACAGAATATATATTTTGCAAACGTATATAAAGTAAAAAAAAATTTTATTCTTCCAATCCATCGTATGTAAAGAAAAAGTGAGATCTGCAATATTTAAAGGAATTGCACTTCCTGACTGCATATTCACGTTTGCTAAAAATAACGTTAAACTAAAAATATTACACAACTATTCAAAACTGTACAAAATAAACAACATGTAAAGTACGATGACAGATTTTAGACATAGAAGAAAAAAAATACTAAAAAATTTTACCACATGTCAAAATGTAGACGTTCCTTTTTTATATTCAGATGCTCTGCATACCTATCTGTCACATTCAAGCACTTTGAACGTAGGTGTGGTTGTAGTAGGTGTGGGAGAATTGTATTTGCTTACGCGATGATTCAAGGATGTCTCTTGCACGTTGTCCAGATTTCCATGCATCGCTCTCTTGTGGTTCGCCAATTTCTCTCTGTTCATGGGTGAGCCTAGAACCACCAGGGGGCCATGACGCTAGTCCACATTACTCAACAAATGTACATTTAAAGACCACGATTCATCTCAATGAAGAGAAGACTAAGCGCAGACGTAGTTAGTAAAAGAAACAGTTTAATGCAATTTGTTACTCTCTGTCGAATTTGTAAAGCTGCTTGTGTTAAATAAGAAAGGCCGAAAAGTTTTGCAATGCACACATAGGGATATGAAAATGAAATCTTAATTAGTATAACACTGGTGAGTCCAAATAAAGTGATTTTTTAACTGTTCTGTTTTCTTCCCAAGAGCTAAAATAATTCTGAAAATTGCGGTGACTATGCTATCAAGTGTATCTAGTAAATCTAAAATTACATAAAATATCTTTCATGCAACATAAAGCGTCAATAATACATAAGTAAGCAACATATATTTAAATAAAAAATTATAAAAAATTTTAAACATATATAATTTTTTTTTAAGAAAACAAGTTTAATATTTTCAGCAAAAATATTAAACTTCGACCATTAGATTCCAAAGAATAGCATAAAAAACATTTAGATTTTTCAGAGTTTTAAGTATGTAACAGTTATACTGTACCCAATCGAAATGCAGAAATTCAAATTTCAGTAAATGCTTTATATATGTATAGAAAATATTTAAAAAAATGAAAATTTAGCCTTATCTTCATTAATATTTCAAATATAAAATTATGTAAATGAATATATCTTTAACGTGAAAATATCGTTTTCATCAACTTTTCAATCTGTTTTCAAAGTTGTATTCCCTCACTATAATAGTAGGGGAAGCACTTTAGGATAAATACAAAATAGCATGTACTGATGCATAAACAAGAGACTCGCGTTACCAAAAAATGTAACACAAACTTTTCGGACGTACCTATAGATATACCAACGAAAAATTGTGCATTATACAAAAATTATAATTATGACATCATGATAGTGTCATAATTACGTACACATATATATGTATATGACAACTTCTTACCTATATAACTCAGCAGTACTGGCAAAAAGATAAGACCATGCGCCGCTCCGAAGAGTACGATACCCAAATACATTCTGAAGTAAAATACCTGCAAACATTTCTTAGCTGAGTAACTCTAAGTAATTTTATACAATTGAAAGGGTTTTGAATGGGTTGAAAGAAGATATAACATCAATAAATATAAACACTTAAAAATTTTAAATTAGACTAAAAGCCGAGCCTTTTTTGTAACGATTGACAATTTGGATTATTGAACAATTGATGTTTTATTTAATATGCTAATAGAATATATCAGAACAAAGACCAACCTGGAAAATTTGACTCTTTGCAAAGCCCAGTACTATAATGCCGCCAAACTTTGTCAGCGTAATACCGCTAAATACTGAGCTCCCCATATTTGTCAATGCATCTGCGACTCTTTCAACCCTAGTTGCTTGAACTGATACTGAGAAAGAATGTACCAGATGACTGCAAAATTCGACGGCTATACCCACTGCCTGTTAAGAGACATCAGCATCGGATGATACATTTTCAACAGCTATATAATAGACTTAAAAAACTACTTTTACAGCCATATTTGTCACATTTTTGTATTCTTTTTCTCATTTGCCCCTTTTTGTTCTTGCAATACATTAATATTGTAAAAACAAATATATAATTATACAATAAATGTATATTTCGATTACAAATTTAGAGTAAAATTCCTCAAAAGAGAATTTTGATAGCAATTTCTGTAGATGAAATATTACATTTTTCTTACTTTAATATTAACAAAAGAAACATTTGTTTTCAAAATATAATAAACAAGAATATTTAAAATAATTGAAAATAAAATATAGAAGAAATCAACAAATTTATAATAAATATTTCATTGTTCTATTTCTATACTTTATCTTCAAATCGAAGTATACAATTATAAAAAATACCCAGAGTTTAAAGCTGGAAACACACGAAGAAACTCGAGCAGTAAGATTTCAGACTTAAAAAAATGGCTCCTTACGTTCTCGACAGTCATTGGTCATTCCCTTAAGTCGTAAGTTTTACTGTTTACGTTTTTCATGTGTTCGGGCTTTAACAACAGACGGATTCATATGGCAATATGAACTAAAATCTACTATTTCTACAATGATCAACTTACCATGACAAGATTTACCAGAGATACGGCATTCAAAGTTATATGCCACCAATACATCAAGCCACCAATATTAACGACGATCATTGTGATTGTAATTAGAACCACGAGTGATGAGAAGATATCCAGACCCATTAGCAAGAAAGTAACCACAAATATAGCAAGCAATGAGATTCCTATACTCTGCAGTGTGTCGGGCCACATAGTCAGATACTGCTCGTAAAATACATAGAAGACACTGTAGGGAAACACTTCTACACTATTGTTTTCACCGAGCCTTTTCAAGTTACAGTTGAGCATGTTCGTAATATTCGCCGACACTACTCTGGCTGCTCTCATTGATTCATAATAATCGGCTGAAGTCTTGAGAATAGTGTGATAAGCCATGAAATACGAAGCACCGACCGTCGACATTCCTGTGTTGAAATCGGTCATGTAATTCACACCGTGTCCATAAGCTGCGTGACCTCCTTTAGCACATGTCTCGTCGGGATTGTCTTGCAGGAAGAACGATACATATTTGTTGAAGTCACCGGGCACTGGTCTGTTATACTCATTCAAAGTGATATTGCACATAGAACAGCGTCGAGCTACGATCCAAAAATGTGTGGAAAACAACCAGATTAAAATTGTTAAACATAGTATACGAAGTATATTAATTTTTTAAAGAAAAGTGCGTACCGGTATGCGGACAGAATGAACTGTTCGTAGGGAAATATCTGCAACAACCGGGTAATCCTGACCAATCGATATAATCATCCATCCAAGACGAGGCAGGCTTAGCTATGTAAGTTCTAAAATAAGAGAAAAACATGAGAATATTTTTCAGTAAAATGTAATGACATTTAAACATGAAATTAGATTCATTCGCGAAACTTTTTGCTTCTCGTTGCAATATGTGTACCTGTTTGGTTGTTTAGATGCTGTAAATATTTGCGTTGACACTGAATCGCTATTACAATATTGTCCGCCGCACACTAAGTTTTGCATTTTTGTATTTGAATAATTTAGGCCATCTTTAACAACAAAATACATTGGCGGCCCGATGGATAAGTAGTTATTCAGGAACTGAAATAAAACAAGAATTTTAAGAATTTCTTTTTACAATTCGTATTCAGCTTGTTTATACTCTATCGGTTACGACATACTTTGAAATATTTAAGCACAAAACTATCTTCAGGCATAGAAAGTTCCTGATCTAGGCCAATCTCGATGTGCGGTATCACAGCAATACTACTGCAGAGCCAGCCGAAGAAGACAATCATCACAGTCGCGCGAACCCATTTTTGCAGCAACAATGGAACGTATGCGACTTTGAAAATTTTATACAGCATTCCATCTACCACTTCTTCTCCGTCATCACGCTTAGAGCGAATAAAGCAGCATACATCTAGCCTGTTATTCTGAAATCATAAAAACGCATTTTATGCATTTAATGTGATCATGAATATAGATTATAAAATAAATAGAAGATAAAAGGTGGAAAGAATAAAAGGATGACGAAAATAAAATTTCCCCGAAGGATTATTAACATAAATTTCTTGTATAAAACGTACCGCGTGTCGAACCGTGTCAAGTGCTAGAAGACTGACGAAACATGTGATTTGTAATATGAAGTCTACTAATAATGCCATTCCAGCGTAGAGAGCAAATGCTTTCACGGCTGGCATGTCAGAGAGACCACCTGTGGACAAAAAAGAAATATTGTAGCAACTTCTTTACATACGACTTTCATGTGTATTGTTTACAATCTTTGCAAACACATACCGAGGAAGAAGCAACAACTTTCCGATACACTTGTGAGTAACATACTAGGGCCAACTTGACCTAATGTACGACCAATGTGCTCCGGGATCGATTCATTCGGACGTCTGCCTTCCCTCTGATGAGTTTGAACGAGAATAAAAATATTATCTACTCCGACTGCCAACACCAAGAATGGAATGACCTCGATGATGATTAGCGTAGCTGGTAGACCAATAAAGCCGAACAATCCAACCGAACAAATCACAGATGCCAACACTATGAGTACACCTCCAAGTCCAAGCGTAATCTTAGAATCGTTCTAGAATGGGAATTAATTACGTATTAAAATATGTAGTCATTTTAAATAAGTTGCAAGAGGGAGAAGCAAATACGTGGCATAACGTAGATTCTCACCAAAAGACGAGCACATGATCTAATTTGGCCGAGAGACACCGCAATATATCCAAACATAATGATATATGATACCAGGATGGTTACAATGTCCGACTGAGACTCACGATTCAGTTCGTCCTCGATAGAACGTTCGGACGTGAATGCTATGTCCATATACGCCGGTTTTCTTGTTGCCGTCCAATTTCTCATAAAGTTGATAAAGCTGAAATTTGGATATAAAAATGAATTATATATGAGATATAATCTCACTTGCTCTCGAATCTATCGTGTAAGTTTACCTTTCTTCCCATTCCATAGCGGGTAATAACTTGGTTTTGTTGTGATAATTGTTTACAAGAATAGTAAGGATTATTGCAGTCGCCTTTTCATATGGTGAATTATGAAGATCTTGTCCCGGAGACAAAAATCCACCTACTGCAATTGCTGGCTCTACAGGACCGCCGTAAAGTGCGAGACATTCAGGATTATATGCATTTCTGGAAAAAAAATAAATGTAATGTAAACATAAAAAATGCGATAACAATATTATATATGCAGACATATACATATATTTAACAAAAAATACAAGATATTACGTTTATTTTTCAAATGTTTTTTATTTATTACTAGTTATATACGCCAACGGTAATTCTTATCTACTTTTGTTATATTTTTCATCTATAAATATAAATAAATAAATATGAAATGGCGTTTGGTTGCAGGAGAGAATGGTTGACTCATAGTTTGTTCGATCGATATCAAACTTCAACCCGTACTCATGTTTTATACAAGATTGATTGAAGAGTTACAGTCTGTCTGAAGTATGAGCTCAACAGGTAACTTTTTTTCAGAAATCCAAGTTTTAAAAAAAGAAGTTTAAACAATTATATTATACATATATAAAATTCTTTTTGCTCTCATCACTTACTGTGAGCACACTATGAAGTGGTCCAAATAGTTGACTGTGTAATTCCCTTCTTCTTCCGAATCTTCAAACTTTACTAAACTGTCTTGCCAGTAACCCCAAATACTTTGAATAGCGCATTGCGAAACAGTCGTTGGGCCGGTAAATGGCCCAGTTAAAGGGGCAAAACATATATCCGCTAATGTATAGTTGTTAGGAGTAATTATACTTTTAATACCTTCTTGTAATTCAAAGACCATTTTTAGAAAAGTCTCGTTAAACACAGGACCAAATACAATCTGGCCATTAGAGGTGTTGTGTACAATCTGTAATTAAACAATTATACATATTAAAATCAGAGACACGCACATACGGTTTCGTTAATCCATTTCTCTTGTAAATAATAAAAAAAACCTAATTATCGCCACACTTTTTTTATTTTATAGAATATAATTCTATAAAATATATATATGCGAATATAATTTGTTCTATACAAAATTAACAGTCCAAAAATCTAAACATTCTTATACACATACGTTTGATAAGCCAGTAGAAGTGATGATAATTTGTTCGTTTCGATAGAAGGGTTCAAAGTGTTTATCGAAATATTCCCTTTCGACGCGCGATCGGGAATGCGGGGATGCCCACAATTCCACAGGATCTGTAGTAACCTGCATATACTTTATGCCATGTCCCAAGGCAACAATAAATAGGAAGCCAAGGAAAAGTATTAACCAAGGTCGAGAAGCACAAACTACAAAAGAATATTAGTCATTGTAAGCAAATATAGAGCAATATTATATAATCTAATTTTAATGTAAATTATATCACAAAAAGTTAAGTATAAATTATCTCACCCGTTCCCCACTTGCAGAAGAATTCTTGCAAAAATTTATCGGTGCCTGCTCCAAGCTTCTCAAGGAATGTGGATTGTTCTTGATCAAATTCACTTGGCAACTCATCGGAGGATATAACACCTAAAAGCATTTACATAAAATATAAGAAGTTTTTACAACTTATAAATGTCCAATTAAGCGCCATTATGCAGTTTAAACAATCTCGAGTGCACGTGCTGTAAACAATTAACATTCCATCACTTATAATGAACATAATAATATTACAAGTAACCAAATTCTTATACAAGACAGTACAAAGATAGTCTATAAGAGTAATTAAGTCCTAAAATAAATAATCTCTATTAGCGTAATAATAATAAAAAGTACAATGCCTTAACATAATTATAACAATGTTAAGACATTATATTACATTAAAGAAAGGTAAAATTTCTTATCTAAATATAGTTCTTTAATTAAAAAGAACTTAATACAAAACAAATCAACATTTCTAGTTTACTAAAATTACTAATCTTGTTATAAGAAAATAGTGCTTAACAAAGTAATATAGAAAATGTATAATTTAAAGTAGCTATGTGACTAAATGTTAAGATATAAAGAAGTTCCCTGAATAATATTAAAGATCTCATTACAGTAATGTTGCAAGAAATAATAAATAAAATTACCTGTTCTTATAACATCTTTTCATTATTTTTATTATTTTGACAATTTCCAGAAGTTATAAGTATCTTCTATTTAAATGTACTATATTCTGCCCCTAAAGTAACGCATACATACATAAAATATTGGACAATAAAACTTTATATTGCGTTTTATAATTTATTTAAAAAAATGATTCTTCAATGTCATTCCAGGGAATTCTTTCTTGATTAAGCTTATAAACGGCACATTTTTCTTATCTTCTTAACTATTTAAAGCAGTGTCTCCTATCACACATACATAACACATTGTAACATGCAAAATATTATTAAAAAATACACAACTTAAGCACATTAAAACAAAACGTACAAAATACGACAAAATTTTTGTGAGCCAAAAATATGATATTTATATGAATATTTCCAATTAATATATTTTAATACAAATTTTTTTAAGAAAACGTATGTTTCCTCATAAAACTTGAAAATATTTTTGACAATGCTTGTTTATAAGAAAAAGGGAGTATCGATATCATGTATATGTAAATCACATGATTGTTATGTAATGTATTATAGGAACAAATCTCGTCAAGCTCATGTCTTTTATGAGTTTCTTTTGGTCAATTATGTACAATGCGAATTTATCATGTGATTGTACAATATTGCATTGCAGAAGATATACAAGTTATATACAGCTTAACGTTATAAATAAGATATTCGACAAATCCAAGTGTAGACAACTGGGAAAATAAGTGACAAATTTATGTAATGCGCATCCTGGCATAATCTGCAAGGGCTGAAAATAAAGCGAAAGACACAAAAGCTGTGAAGCAACAGACAAGCTATAAAGGCAATGACGACTTGACGAGTACATCAAAGCTTTAGAATCGAAAAAACCTACTAGAACGCTTAGACTGAAGTGGACTGTCTTCTTGGTCAGCTGCAAGGGCAATACGAGCACCATCTCCTGGGTGGTGTAATCCGGCAGCTAGCCGTCTACCCACCTGTCTTCCTACCTCCTCTCCTCGTGCAACTATACATATGCGCACACCATACATACACAACTTATAGTCTGTACTCATTTCGTGTGATATATCTACACAAGTATTATTAATGGAAATCATATATGCTTCTCAAATAGTTGACATAACAAAGTAAAGACTTGTTCTACATATAGAAAAAATTGAGTCACACTTATGCAACCTAATAATATTACATATGCATTAGTTTATAAACTAACAAAAAAGTTGAAGTTAGTATAAATGTGTTAATAACACTTCTAAGAAAAAAAATCTAAAAAATTATGTAGCAAATGTTTCATGAATGAAAATGGATAACACACAATTATTATAAAAGATTGTTTAAGAGATTATTTTCTTCACAGAATTTTTCAGCAATTAATAGCTTCATGCGTGAACATGACTATCTTTACATTAATTTCGAAATGTATTTGCACCATTGTAGATACACCAGTAACTATTATTCTATAATTCTCTTGATACTTCTCACAAAAATAATGTTTGTTTTTTAACATATTTTAAAATAAGAAATTACGATTCCATGATGTTGTCATACATGCTCTTTGGTTTCAAATAACATAAAATAAAATAAGCGCAAGAAAAAGATCTCACCAAAGAAAAAAAGAAAACAATAGAATAGATTAAAAAATTATTAATAAATTAGTCACACAATTAACTTTTCACTTCATTTCCACACTTCACTTCAACTTACATTAAAAATGATTAATAAGAATAACACAAGTTAACTATGTATACTTAAGTATACTTAATTAGTCACTAATATGTTTAATAAATTATCAAAAATAAATTATATGCAAAATATAATTAAAAAATAGCTTCACTTTAAAAAGACACAATGCATTTCCATTTCCATACTTTGCTGCAATGTTTATCAATAAATTTGTTACATATATTCTTATTATGTTTATATATGTATACATATATAGGACGATTAATTTATCTTTAACATCTGAAATATCATCGTTGTTTTTAAGAATAGTCTATACAAATCTGAGGTAACTATTTCAAATATCTGTTGTAACATTAAGACAGTAATTAAATAATTCTTTAAACACATCGAATCATAAAATGTTTATAATAAAATATTCTTCAATGACAGGAAATATTTTATCTCTAAAAAAAAATACTGAAATTGATGAAAATGAGAATTCTCATACTCAAGGTCATTTAAAAATCATCATCTGAATTTACGTTGCCAAATTTATCAAGTTGGTTATAACATTGTATAAAAAAAACATATACATAAAACACACCTGATTTTAAAATTTTGAAAAAAAAGAAAGATTTTAAGAAGACAATGTGCACCAAATTGAATAATCTTATCTTTAGATATGTTCCTCTGTACTCAAAGTATAAAATGATATATTGAATAGAGATATATTTTAAGTAATAAAGATTGTGAAACTCTCCCTATATGTATATGTATATACATTTAGAAAAGAATATATACTTGTGATACCTTACACAAACAAGGTTGAGTCTCTTACCTATACGCTTCCTGTGGCTGAAACACATCATTAACAGAAGGAAGAGGCAGGTACCACATATAAATATAATTGTCATTATAACTTCATAGCCATCGTAACCGAATATTGAGAATGGTTTTGGTAATGGAGGCATCGGTGGTGGTGTTGGGCAACTTCGTTCACAATCAACACAACTGCAAGCTGGAGTGTTTTTCTGTAAAGAAGTTAGACATTGATCCTTCTAATCAATTTTTCTTACATTTTCTCGTTTGCATATTTTATTGTCGTCTTACGAAAAAAAAAATAAAACAACAAGTATAAAGACGCGTGTATTGCTCAGCGAAAAATATAACCGCTCACGTTCTATTTTTGTACCATTATACATTTAAGTAATTATGATCTAGTCTTTTACCATAATTTATTCATTGCATTTGTGACGTATAGCGTAAAGTATTGTCTAAAACTCTTGTGTGAGACAAAGAAAAAAAATTATTTACCAGTACTCAACAGATCCTTATAAGAGGAAAATATGTCGTAATTGAATACACACACACACATTAACTTATGTTAGTTCATTATCTTAAAGTCTCGTGCAGTCAGTGCAATTTATAGATTTAAAAGAGCATTTGTGACATAGATTTTTGTATATATCTATTGTTCACAGAGAAAAAATATTTTCGTATATTTTATGCGCACATACATTTCTAAAAGTGTAATACTAACGTTTAGCGCCTTATTGCACGGCGTGATTGGAGGATCTAATGGCTGAAACGGTCCGACCGATTTATCGGTGTTCACATATGTGATTTGGAAAGGTACGTATACATTGTTCTCTGCATCGCCCATGAAGTGAAACCATTTCACGGGAGTACATCTGCTCGCACCCCATTCTCCGCACATTAAATCCAGTGCTAACTGTCCCGTACTCGGCACCGACACCTTGTTGCACGAGTTAAACGTCCCATCGAGATACTTGTTCGTTATATACACATGTATCCCGTTAACATATTCTACACCTGAAAAGAGATTCCAAATAATAAAATGCATGTCGAAACGTTGTTAGGCGCTGACCGTGCCAAATGGTAAAACGGGATACAATAATTACCATTTGCCTCGCCTTTCTCCGTAACGTTGATGAATTTGCTTTGGTTGGTAGCGCACGTGAAGTCGCAAATGTGTTTCGCTAAATTGTCTAAACAACTAGGGCATCTCTTCAGAAAGTTTGACGCAAGCTTGATATTCGCGTCCAGCGTAGTGAGCTGGTTCGTGTCGCAGCAGGTATTAATCCCTTTGCCATCGTCCACCAACAAGTGCGGGCAATGCTTGGACAACAATTTTTGCCCTTCGGGATCCAACGGCTTCGCTGGTCCATTGTAAACGCAATTCTTTTTGTGGAAAGCCGCGTCCGTGTAACATTCTCCGTACCAAATACAATGGTCATTTTCTTCGCCGACAACCTGTTTGTAAATACAATAAGACGTTTAGACCTTTCATTAAATAATCTACTCTTCCGTGAGAAACAAAACAGCGCGACAGAATTATCTTTAACTTGTTGTGCATTCTCTTACTCAATACCCTAACATATATTGATATCTAGATTATAATTGATTAAATATCGTCGCTTGATGGATGATAAGTTTCACCGGTTGCGCTCACACGAGGTACATATGTATAATATATAGCGTATATTACATAAGGCATTTCCTAATTGAGTTCTTCATGACCTGCGTATTAAAGTCTGATGAGATTTATTTGAGTCAATGAGCTGAATTAACGATTTAATTCGCTTAATATAAAACACAATATTGAATGAAGAACTCCAACAAAGGAACGACGTTTCGTTTCTCACCGCGAAAGATATTCCTGTACGACTGATGTACAGTCAGAAAAGTTGTCCGATGTTTAATGAGAATTTCGGAAATATACAATTTATCGCGCGAGAGATTACAGCTTCGGCTCACTGACATGTGCAGTGACGCATTGTTCGACCAAACGAATGGTGTGAACATCTACGCGATGATACATACGAACGTTCCGAAAGCTTATTGTAAAACGTCGGACAACCACGACCGTACACGGTAATAATATTGTCAATAGCATTACTTGGTCATCCGAAATATGACGAAAGGGCCAGTGCGAGCCAAACGTAGATAATTATTCGAAAACTTTGAGAAAAACATTCCGCCTTATCCTCTGCATTTGGCTCGCCCTTTCATATTTGTTTACCACATTTGAGGCTGTTTGCTATTTATTTTCTTCATTATCCCTAATTTTAAGTTTATATGAGCAATATATTGAATTAAATTTGTAACGAATAAAGCAATGCATTATTGGGAGAGAGAGAGAGAGACTGTGATGCCATTTATAAAACATTATCTGAAAATGTCACACAAGTTCTTTACAATTTAAATTAATTGATATAAGAAAATAAGAAATTAGAATGTATGATTTAAAAAAAAGTAAAAACTATGCGTGTGTATGATACATCGTTACAATATATTTATAAAAGTAAATATGTATTTCTTAATAAATTCGTTGACATTTGTCGCACGCAGAAAAGAACTAAAATTGTTCAACTTTTTATAAGTGTTTCTATCACCTTAAAAAATAACCTTTTTAAAAAAAAGGTAAAAAAAGACGCCAAGTATGAGCGTCATCCAATCAAGAATTATATAATTTAATTATTTGGATATATTTTACTAGAAAAAAAACATTACAAGTATTTTTTTATAGAAACGTAAGAAAAATTTGTAAATTCGTAAAACGTTTATTTTATGTAAAATTGTTATAAGATTAATTTAATCTGTTGATAGTAATTTAAATTTTTCAGTTTTATATTTATTAGAATTATCCTCCTATATTCCTTCTCTTCTATCATTAAAATTTATTTCCGTTACGAAGAAAAGAAAAGAAAGAAGAGATAGACATTGGATACGCATGAGAGAATAAAATAGCACAGGATTGAGATTGCGTTGCACGATCGAATTCGATCAGTCGACTTCTCATACGTTTCTACTCTACAGTTTTCATGGTTCATGCTTATTTATTATAGGATTTTTCTCGTCGATGCTTCCCAGACCATAGATTAATCATGTACGAAGAATGGTATCGGATGGCGTATTCCTTCTCGAATTCGAATTCGATCGGTGCACGTAATGGCCACCCCTGGGATTCACATTGCACATCGTTACAACAATGACGACTATAAAATAGATATTTACGACAAGTTATACAATAACAAACTAAAGCCAACAAAAAAATTGTCACCTTTGAGTTGTTTGCAAAAGAATAATAATTCAATACACTGAGGTCCGGTGTTTCATTTTCTGGGTAAATATTGACCAAAGGTTGGTCGACTACTTATCCCTTCTCAGACAATAGAAAAAGATAGAAAGCTGACTGACCTCTGGTTAACATTTAATCGGAAAATTAAAAACCGAGCCTAAATGAAACGCCAATATATCGCTGGATACTTCAATTTTAATTCTTCCATGATCAAATATTACACCAAAGTCTAATAAAATATCACAAAATTGCAACAATTCAACACATTCAACCTTATTTTCTGGACTAAAAATTATCATCTTCGAGTTGTTTGCAAAAGAATGATGAGAATTCAATGCGCCGAGACCCGGTTCTTCATTTTCTGGTTAACTGTTAACTAAAGAAGAGCCTAAAGAAGAGCCAATATATCGCTGGATACTTCAATTTTGATTCTTCCATAATCAATTATTACACCAAAATCTAATAAAGTATCACAAAATTGTTTCAACACATCCAAACTTATTTTCTGGATCCCGTTTCTTGAGCTATATATAATTGTTGCAGCAAGCGGGCAATATTACACGAGAAACGATGTTCGGTATCAGCTCGTCGCGTGAGTCACTCGTTTACAAGGAGTTATAAGTCACGCAATGGGCGTTATACTTTGGATTATGCCCGGCACGAAGCCGCGAAATGTTTTTCATCGTCTGTATAAATGATTCGTGATGAAACGTGCGAAAAAAAACGCATGATTTATCAATCTTATCGGTTTTAACAGCCCGGTGGAAAATATCTGCCATCGCCGCCAGCTCAGGATTACATTAACATCGAATTTTTAATAACGCGTGCGAGTAAAAAGATCTAACTAACGAGAGACGTTTCATACGAATAAGGAAATAATATCTGTATTACATCATATATTTTTTTATTAGTAATTCTGTGCACACGCGTTGTATGGCAATTATATTATATACAGGCGGTCACGTAAATTACCCTGGATAAGTCTCGAGTCTCGAGTGTGCCGGGACGTGAGAAGGAACTTTATTTAAGCGGAGCACCGGCATTAACAATAGCCTTGTTTCTAGCCGTACTTGTTAATTCTCTTTCCTGCCGCGAACAGACAGCCTATGAGAAATCAGAATGACGACTCGACAGGGAAACGATTTCTCCGTACAGACACTGCACATTTTACGTATGATAATACATTTGTAGTATATGCTTAATGTATAATTATTATTTATGTACTTGAATTCGTTAATTAAGCGGAATTAACGAGCGGTCGTACGTTTAAAAGAAGATTTCAATTTCTGCGACCTGGTTTAGAACTTGGTGGAATTTTCATTTATTTTCATAAAAGAGGTACAAAATTATTAAAAATTGTAAGTTTAAAAAGTATCTACTATGACGTAGACCGCCATATATTGAATTAAGACATGGCACTGCCACGGGGAGGCTCTCGGCAGTCAACGTTTTAAAACTACAGCCAACGCCACACGATACTTTTTCCTACACCCAAGAAAAAGTCTGATAGATTCAACGAGTCGTCTGTTAGAAAATGGACGAATCAGAATTCCTTTAGGATTTACCATGGAAGATATTTCATAACCTGCGTGAAGTTTACTAGACTTCGCTACAAATCTGGTAAATCCTAGAGGGAATTCTGATTCGTCCATTTTCTAACAGACGACTGGTTGAATCTATCAGATTTTCTTTTCAGTGTACTCGTTTATTTACGAGAACCAATAAGGATGCAGAGTTTAAAGCCAACGGTACACGATACTATTTTTCCCACTGGATTGCTTACGAGAGCCAATCAGGATTTAAGCCAACGGCACACGGTACTATTTTTCCTACTGGATTGCTTACGAGAGCCAATCAGAATGCAGGGTTTTCGATCAGGTGACTTGAGGCTAAATCCTGATTGGCTCTCGTAAGGAATCCAGTAGGAAAAATAGTATCGTGTGCCGTTGGCTTTAGCTTTTAGTCACCTAATCTGAAACTCAGCATCCTTATTGGTTCTCGTAGGCAGTCCAGTAAGAAAAATCGTATCGTGTGCCGTTGGCTTACGCCCGGTCTACAATGAGTTGTTAGTCGTTAGTCAGAAGTCGGAACTATATGTCGGTCCTTTTTCTTCCACCCAGAAAGGAAAAGGATCAACATATAGTTGCGACTTCTGACTAACGACTAACGACTCATTGTAGACCAGGCCTTAAGCCAACGACACACGATACTATCTTTCCTACTGGATTGCTTACGAGAGTCAATCAGGATTTAGCCTTAAATTGAATTGTAAGAGATAAGAGCTCTCTCTCTCTTTCTCTCTCATTTTGAGAGACAGGAAACAACACGTAGAAAAAAATAAAACTTATCAAATTACGTCCGTTCTTTTTTTACACTTTTCAAGCATTCGCTAATTCGTTAAACGTCTCTACATAGAGTCAATATATTCTTTGCTTTCCCCCTACTACCTTTAAAGCTTAGCTTGGGCCCGGTTTTCCACTTTCTGGTGAATCGTTAACCGGAGGTTAGTTCGATTCTCTGTCTCTTCTTGGATAATAACATCGAAAAGGGCGGAGAGTCGACTAACTTCTGGTTAACGGTTAGCCAGAAAGTGAGAAACCAGGTCCTAGCTTGTAGGTATATATACGTATATGCGCCATCTCGTAAACAAGAAAACATATACATATAGCAGATTTAAAAGGAACGCAGTTATTGAACGATACAGCGATGCCTCGTGTACGTGCGTCGCGAGATACATTCCTTGTCCCGACAGCAAGCGGTCAACAAATATCCCTATCGTCGTTCGGCGCTTACGAGGTAATTAGTCGTTTAAACGAGCGGCTAATTACCTCGGCTTTCTTGCCGCGGGCGTTCGCATAGCAAGTACATATCGGCGACGGGTCTCGGGAGGGAGGGAAGCGCGCGCGAAATAACGGAGGTCGCGGACGCGAAACGGGCGGAAGGCTACTTCTCAAAGGACACGTCCCCCGGCGATCTGGGGCGGCTGGAAGCGATGCGACGCCCGACGGCGAAGGTAGGTCGGCTAAAATTCGCGGAGATCAGCCTGTCAAGAGCATCTCCCGCCGGCCTCGACCCACAAACACGGAAAACAATCTCGCGTGTTGTCCGGGGCTTTCCTCGGCCACAGCCAGGAGGAATGAAGGAAGGAATCGAGCGAGCTCCTCGGAGGAGGGGAAAACGGGAAAGGCAGTTATAGGCTTTCTCGGCGATCAGCCGAGGTGACGTCACGCGACGCGTAAGCGCCGTCGATCCTACCTCGCTGGGGTGTGGACAATGTATAGGCAGGTACGGAAAGATGTATATACGCGCGCGCGCGCGCGTACGCGTTGGCGCGAGCTTGCGCCAGGAGAGACGAGGAAAGAGAAAACGAGCGTTGACGTGACGCACGCGCGGCGCGCGTGCAACACGAGCGTCGCAAAAGGATATATACGCGGCGCACATACCCGGGCCGTCGTATACGCCGTTACTCACCGGGCTCGCGAGGCTGGACAAGGTCAGCAGTAGCAGCAGCAGGGGCCGAAGAACGCCGCCGCGCGTCACGGTCGCGCCTATCAAAGTCCGACGCGCGGCCGCCGTGGTCGTTACACTAGTCCTGTGCATGGTCTCGCACTGGCCCGCTGGCCGTATCCCGCTCTCCCGTACCGCTCGAAGTCACTTAACCTCGCGCTCGACTGGATTGCACGGCACAGTGTTATCGCAAGCCGAGCATCGCGCGCGGCGCACCTCCCGATGACGTTGTCGCGCGCGAGACACTCTCTCTCAGCTCGGCTCGTCCCGCGAACTAACCGCGTGCGACCTGCCCCTTCGACCGTCACTCCGTCGACTGGCCGCCCGTCTCTCCCGCTCCGTCAATCGTCGCGCGACACTCGGCTGTCGACGGCCGCCGCCAGCGCCGCCGGCGGCGCCCCGCCGCACTACGGCGCGCGCGCCGCGCGACTCGAATCGTGCAAATCACGCGGAGCCAGCGGCGTATCTAATTTGCTTTCTCGATGCGCTCGGATAAGACGAGTTCGAGGCCTCGATAGTTGTAGCGATAACGGGCTTGATGCTGCGCAAATACCGCGCAAAAGGCGAGCAATAACAATGCCTACACGAGCTTCGCGGAACGTTCGTATAGACCGAGCCACGTGAACGCTTACCTTGAGTCTCATTTTCGCGGCGCGATGCCCAGATTTCGCTGTATACGTCAATTCGACACGATATGCTATTAGCACGAGTAAGGCCCGGTTTCACCAAACGTCGCTTAACTTTAATCTTAGTTTAATTCATGCTTGCCTCTTTCTAAAGTAACAATTCGAAAGAGACAAAGAACGAATTAAACTAAGATTAAAGTTTGTCCTAGGCCCGATTTCACTAAACGACGCTTAACTTTAATCTTAGTTTAATTCATGCTTGTCTCTTTCTAGAGTAATAATTCGAAAGAGACAAAGAACGAATTAAGCTAAGCTTAAAGCTAAGCGACGATGAAATCGGACCTAAAGCCTTGTGTCCACGATCCAAGAACTGTGTCCAAG